GGCGCGCAAATAATGAAGGAGCACGGGGCCACCTTCAGTAGCTCCGGGATCAGCGGCGGCAGCGGTGACTCGGCTATGGACAGCCTGCAGCCACTCCAGCCTAACTACATGTCTGTGTGTTTGTTTGCAGAAGAATCTTATCAAAAATTAGCGATGGAAACGCTGGAGGAACTGGACTGGTGCTTAGACCAGCTAGAGACCATACAGACCTACCGCTCTGTCAGCGAGATGGCTTCTAACAAGGTAAGAGAGGACCGTTTTATCCATTAAAGTGTGACCCCCGCGGGGAGCTCCCGGCGCCCCTGACCTCTGCCTGCAGCTGGGGTGCACGGGAACGCGACCGCCAGAAGGCTTTGTGGATCTGCCTGCGATGTCTCTGTTCCCAGGGGCCACTCTTTGCCTGTATCTTGATGTTAGAGCAAGAGTTTAAAATCCTCGGTATCCTTTAAGCCCCAGAAACCAGACTTCTTTCTTACTGATGTGGTTCGGAATTTGTTTAAGGTGAGAGATGTTTATAAAGTGTACAAACCACTGCGCAAGTGAAAATGCTTTTTCTGGTAAACAATGGTCAAGAAGATGAAATCTGAGTGAATCCATAGGGGGAAATGCTGCATTGCAATTAGGTGTTATAGATGTGTTTTTGAACAAGAAAATGTGACTTCTGCATATCAGTGGGCAGAATGATTTGCCCTGAAGCTTTATAAATTTTGAAATTCTTCTCAGAAGGACATTCTGGGATTCTCATACATTTCTTTTGTGATGCTGGCATGACCTGAAATTAGAGAAAGTAAAAAAAAATATACTGTGTCTCCAAAAAAGAAACTTTTTAAAGTTTGCTGCTTTGCGAAATGGAATCATTTGAAATGAAGTTCCACCCGCAAGGCAAAGAAATAGTTTTATTTACAATCCCCAGACAAAACTTAGTATTGAAGAACTTTATTTATCATTAGATCATTTGTTTAATTAACACCTGGATTCGGAGTGCTAATTTATGTGGTGAGAGTTGTTACTTTTTGTTTGTTTGTACTTTTCCCTTGGAGAATGTTAATTTTATATATATGTGTGTATATATATGTAATACTTATATATGTGTGTGTATTTTTTTAACTGAAAGCCTTAACACCGCGCCTTCATAAATACACATTTCAGAATCCCCAGTCATCCTAGCCTGAGGTATTATCTTACTGTCTTAAGGTTCAGGGGCTGGGAAGAGGTTTTGCTCCACACCTGCCAACATGCCCTTTCCAGCCCCCATGCGTATCCCTCCTCCCTTTTTCCTGGGATTAGAAGCATCACCTTCCTATGAAGGCTTGCTGGCTCCTGCTCAAAGGATCCCAGCAGAGGAAGCATGTGCCCTGAAGGTTGGGGTGGAGGGTGTGGAGAGTGGACTCTTGTTACTCTTGTTTATTGGTTAATATGAGGGCAAAAAATAAAATAAAATAAGTCCCTCTCTCAAATTTTAGGTCAGATTCAAGTTGGAAAAGAAAAGAGGTTTGAGGTTTTAACTATTTACTGACTTTTCTCTGAACTTCTCAATTGAAGGCTAAATTCTGGGTTTTTCCAGCCTGTTGTAAATCTCAACCGACTGCTTCCCCATGAAGAGGGCTTAACTACGTAATTTCTCCAAACCACACTGGAGTCCATGTGGGAGGATTTTCACACAGGCTTTAGCCTGCTTTGAAGCACTCACAGAGACTCTTCTCTGCATTTGGTGATCACTAATGCAAATGCAAGATGTCATCCAGTATTCAGGGGTAGTTGTTTTATCAGCAAGTTTCACCGTAAAGGATATGCTGAACATTCTTCTGGAGTCAGATAAAGTAGGCAACTAACTCCAGAGGAAGAAAACGATTATTCATTGAGAAACTGCAAATTGCTATTAGTTTTCATTTTGAGCGTCCTGCGCTGTAGACTCTAACCAGGTTTGTGTCTGGAGGGCTGAAATTAGACGACGTCTGTCTTGCAAATGTATTGCAAATAATTTCGTATTCAGTGTAATAGTTGATAAGGCTCTGAGACCAGGCACTGTGTAGGTCCTAGTGAGAACTCCGATCGCTTCAGGCTTCCGCTCCTCCTTTATGGTGTCCTGTGCAGGAAGCAATGAAAGTTGAATAGAGCTAACCCTAAAGAAAGGGCTAAACCTTAATGCTGACACAGTGAGCTTAAGTAGAAGGCACGCCGCTTCACCTATTTCTAGAGCTACAGTGGAAAGGTTGTAGGGCAAAGCAATTATCCAGTGGATGAACAATGTGCAGCTGACAGCTGAAGTCAATTTCAAGTTTTAAAAAGCTCTCTCTCTTTTTACTTAGCTCCCTCTCCGGCACCCCAAAGTCTTAATTATCCAGATAATCATCTCAGGGAAGGCTTAATCCCTGGCACATATAATATAATGAAAATATCTTTATAGCCACCTAAAAGAAATTGATCTATAGCAGTTTTTTGGGGGAGGGGGAACTGAATTATCTGTGGTAAAACTAAAATTCCACATTTCAATGTTAAATATTGTCAAAATTCTTTGAGTGTTCCATCTGAGTTGCTGTTTAAAAATATCATCATCATCATTACTATGTAGTCTCATTTGGTCATCTTTTGCTTACTCTCACGAAGGAGCTGTGGCAAATATCTGAGTCACAGACTTGGAAGTAAGGTGTGGGGGTGTTCTATACGGGGAGTCTGAAAAGCATGGACTTTGGAGTCAAAAGATCATGGTTCAAATCCTCTCTCTATCATTTGCTAGCTACTTGACATTGGCCAACTTACTTAACAGCTCTAAGACTTATTTTCTCATCTGTAAAAACAGGGATAAAAAGGGTTGCTGTGAAGACTGAGATAATGCGTCTAAAGCATTCAGCAAAGGCCCCGATGTGCAGTAAAAGTTCAATAAATGATAGCTTATTAATAGTACCCACTCCAGCTTTGTAAAAAAAGTATGTCTCTAGTTCCAAGCAGCTAAGTGACTGCTGAATTTTGTTTGCAATCTCTGAACTTACGAAAGGCTGGTGATGGGAGAGCCAGTGTTTTGCTTAGGTGTTTTGGGGGTTACAGATGTGCCAGTTTACATGCAGGTGGTCGGGTGTTGACTGTGTCTAGTGGAAGAAAAGCAAGTGGTCTTTTGTATTTGCTTCATCTGGGTAGGGATGTGTGTTGGTTCATTTGTTGTTTTTTTGTTAACCTTTTTGAAGAAAACTGACTCAAAGATTGCAACTGGCTGCTCCAAGTGGGCTTCAGAGCCCAGAGAGTTAGATAAACAGCTGCTTCTGTAACTTAACAGAAACTATAGTCTTCCCCTTGGCCCCAGTTTCCCTCATCCCTTAATGCTGGCCCCAGGCCAAGTGGAATTCCAGAATTACAGAGACAGATGCAGCCAGGTGGGTTAATATGTAGATTATTTTCCCCCAAGAATTACACCAAGGTGGAAGAAATTAAGCAGGACTTTTACGAGGCAATGACATTGTCTTTCAAAATGAAAAGGATGTCAGTGAACCTTCTGTCAGCAGCCCAAGTTTAGCTAGAGGCGTGAGAGCTGTTTTCTGTAACAACAGATTGCCTTCTTAGATTTGTTCATTAATTTTTGTTTCAACTTCTGTCGCCTCCTGAATTAGAAGAATTGTCTTACACTTCAGCGAAATGCCTCAGCGCATGAGTTCCTCAGTGGCAAAAACAGTCAGATGTTTTGAAAACAGGATGCTTTGGCTCCGCATTATAAAAAGAGGAACGGAAAGAGAAACAGTATAGAAAGGAAGAAAGCAAATAGCCTCAGCAGGGTCCCCAGCCCAACAACGGCATAAACACTGACCTATCTTCCTGACCCTGACTGTGGCTCAGTTCCTGACCTCATGTCACCAAAGCCAGCCGACGTCAGTGGAGGAGGAGAGGAGGAATGGCGCAGCTGCTGTGAGGGTGACTAGAATTTCCTGTCTCCTTCCTGACAGACGCAGGCAGAAAAGTACAGAGTTGCAACAACAGTGGCTGAGGAAGGATCGACCCAGATCAATCCCAGAGAGGTGGAGTTGTGACCGATGGGGCAGGGGGAGCTTAGGCAGAGTCTCTTGCCTAAAATTTTCAGGTGAAAAATGTCAAAGGGGTCATTCATACCTGACACATTGAATGTTTTTCAAAAGATGAAATATTTTGAGATCCTCTGATACCCAGGAAGGAACTGTGTTCAAGCAGCTACTCGCTGATCTAACTTCCCCTCAAGAGCCCTCCACTACCCTTTTCTTTCTCAACTAGCTTTGCCCCGGGGCTCTTTGCTGTGTAGTACAAAGGTTTGGGCTTTATCGATGAAAATAGAGGTTCCATTGTTGAAAAGAGCAGCCCTGAATCATATCAGTACTTTCTTTAGAATGAAGCAGCAGGACCTAGGACTACAGTAAATGTTTGCTAAGGAGTCTCGAAGATGGGAATGGGAGATACACAGAGATACGGTCCTTTTTCTCTAAGGGCATCATGAAGTCAGCTGCAGATACCATCACAGGGGAAATGAGTCCTCCTGGCTATGCAGGTTTCTTTTTCCAGTTCTTCAGGTGTGGCTGTATGGGAGTACCAAACGTGAAGCCAACTAATGGCCTGTGCTCTTGGGTGGGAGGGAATGAAGTCATACAGTCATACAGTTCTCCCAGCCTCGAGCCACCTGGGACCCAAGCTGCATGGCACTAGAATGTGATCGGTTGATCGCCCTAAAATTGGGTGAGTCATTTTCTATCTAACTGTCTAATCAATAAGGATGGGAATTGTTGGATCCAGCAGAAAGGAAACAGATCTTATTGGTTAACAGGTTCATCTTAGAACTCTGTTGGGAAGATGGGAGGCAGCTAACCAATTATTGGAAGGAATTAATTCCACATTTGCCCCAAATTAAATGGCATGATTAGAGCAGTGCCTCCCTTAGGGCAAGAGAGCTTCTTTTCCTGGGCCCTGTGCTTACAGAGTCTTTGCCCAGTCTTTGTCTCTGCATTTTGCTCCAGGAGGCAAGGCAAGGAGTCTGCTGGCTGAAAGGAACATCTGTGCTCCCCTTTCCAGACCATACTGTATCCACTGGATCCCCACGTTCTCTGCCCACATGGCTTTGAACTCACTTCCAGGGACTGTACGGGCCTGTTTCCCAGATGTGCTGGGAGCACAGCCTTAGGCCCAAAGGGTAGCCAAAAGGCAGCAGTCTGGCTTGAGAGAGTCGTTTGTGGGGAGCTTGGACATGCAGGCTGTGGCAGAGGGTGTCCACACAAGGTCCCTGGTGATGCTAG